TTTTATCAACAAACTCTTGTTTTTTACGTTTTGTTTCTGAAAATAATCGACAAAATAACAATTGTGACAATTGCAGGTAGTTGTAGAGATTATACCAATCATAGATTCTTTAGTAGCTTCATAAATTGATGTCACCTTTTCAAATTCTTCACATAATAAATTGTAGCCAGGCTGTGTTTCTTGAACTCGTTTGCGATTCTTATCAATTGATAAAATAAGTTGACTTGTACTTTCCTAAGGCGAGAGAGTAGATAGACATACTTGAATCAGTTTTTACTCAAATATGTCGCTTAATAACAATGGGATTTGTGTGTGAATACATTTCTGTGAAAGTATCTGTTTGTTATTTTACCTCCAATTGTTGAATTGCTTGTTCAAACCGTACTTTCATATCACTATATTCTGTTTTTAATGTTTTTAATTTGTCATCGAAATCATTCACTTGCAATTGTTCTTCTCTGAGATCACGATCAAGAATTGTTTTCTACAGAAAATATGCACAGCTTTTGATCATTTTAAATAATGCAGGTGTATTCGCATTTTACTTTTTCACTAAGTTCATTGACTTTAGTTGTGGTTTGTAGAATAAAACGATTATATTGTATGATACTGTTTTTTGTTGTCGATCGCATTTGTTCAATATTTTTTAATAATTGTTCACGTTCCTTTTGTTTTGCAATACTATTTTAAAATTCATATACACACATAACACAAAACTACGCTACATATTGCAGAACTTACCGAATACTTCTCAGATGGTTTAATTGTTTTTCAACTCCGTCTGTTTGTAATTTCAAAGAATCGACAACCATTCTAAATGTCAAAAATTTTAAATATTCTCAAACAGTTTTAAATGACTTTTTATATCTTACTGATGAGCTTCTCTCATTGCCTCTAATTCCTTGCTTGTTTCGGCATTATCCAAATTAAGTTTAGCTGTTTTTTCTAATTTGTTTGCTATTTCCCGTTTAAGTTCTTCTAACCTAAAACAGAGAAAATTTATTATATCCATAGTTTGCCTTAATAAATAAACATTTGGGAATGACATTTCGTTACTCATAGCTTTTGCGTTGTACCTTGAACAACTGAAATTATTTTGAAAAATCTTATTGTTCATCTCACTAATTAAGTATGAATTTTCTGAAAGTTCTTCTATCTGTTACAGTTAGTTATTCATCATAAAATATAAAATTCTTTTTAACGAACTCTTTTCCATTTGATTCAATTTCATCTTGTACTGTTTTAGATAGTTCTATATTTTCTTCTGTTTGCTTGATAACTTCATCATGACGAACTTTCAAATTTTTCAATGCTTCCGTTTCTTCTGTGACACGATCACCAGCCTAAACGAGCAATTTTCAATCTGTAATTGTAAAAAGCGTATCTACGCTAGTTAATGACCACTTACAGTTTGAGCTCTTTCTTCATACTCTTGTTTTTTAGTTTCATAATTTAACAAAGCTTCACCAGCTGAATGTGTCAATTGAAGTCTAAAAAATTGAACTATTTATGTCTAACAACACGTGTTCATGGGTATATTTTTTTACCCTTCTTTTAGTAAACGATTGCATTCATCTTGTTCCAATTGTAGTAATTCTTCTTGTTCGAGTATTTTTTTTGTAAATTGTTCATTTTCTGTTTCATATTTTTCTCGTTCCTTTTAAAACGCATGTTTAATAATTTTATTGTTCTTGGAATTATCCGTATAATTATAAGTCTTACTCTATACATCGTACGTAATTGCATTTCACTTTCACTTTTTTTCTGATTAGCAACATCAACATCTCTAAAAGGAGAAAGACAAAAATAAAATAAAATTAAGAAGGACTTCATATCACGTACTTTTTTAATGTACGATTTATTCGTTCTTGTTGATCATTACGTTTCACTGTCGATGCCTATAATTAAAAAATATTGAAAAGCAATTTAAGCTAGATGAGAGTACTCACGTACGATGTCTTCTTCCAATCTTGATTTTTCTTGTCGAGCATTGTTTCGTTCTTGTATCAATTTTTCTTTTAATGCCATTATATCTTCTTCAAGATCGTAAGTCTAAAAATGTATTTCGATATGATAAAGAAGTATTCTCTTTTCACTCATTTAATACACTGTTGAGCTTACATATTGATTTGTTTCTCGTACAGTATCCCTTGTTTCATTTAAACTAGAAACGAGAAAATAGTTAGTTACTTATCATTCTTTTACAAATCAACTCTTTTCATCTTACTTGATTTGTAATTTGGCTTTATCCGACATTCTCTGATTAACTAATGCTATCGTTTCGTCGTATCGTTGTTGTAATGCATTTTTTTCTGCTCTTATATAAAAATAGGGCATATACAGACTGCTATCTAATCCAAATATCTCGCTGTTCTTACTGTAACACCACTATTTCGGTGTTTAACGATGCATCACGTTCATTATGTTCTTTCAATTGTTTTAGAAGTGCATCTAGCTCATTTTGAAGACGATGAATAACTGATGTGTTTGATTCACGTGCACAATTAACAGCCGCTATATAAAGTAAAAAATAATTATTGACTTTGAATTATCAGTATGAATGCGATTACAAGTGATTTCCAATTTATATTCATCTGGTAATATTTTTAAACGATGTCTTAATGCACTTGCACCGATCGATTGTGCTTCATATTCACTGTAAAGTTTAATGAGTTCTTGTTCCTATAATGAAAAAATAAAATAAATAGAGTCATTTATTTCGAGTTTATCAGATACTTACCAGTTGTAATAATGTATCAGCAACATTGTCAACGCTATTGACATTCTTTTCAGAAAATGTGTTTTCCCGAAAACACTCACCTAAAAAAGTAGGAAAATAATGTTTCTAACGCAAACTGTCATGTGAAAGACATAATATGGACTGTTCAAAGGCATTTCCAGTTCTAACTTACTCTTTCTCACACAATAGTATGTAAATCCTCAAGTTTCTCAAAATCAACGATATTTTAGATTTTGAAAAGTTATTTACAAACATTTTTTTTATGAGAAAACAAGGCACCTTGTTCTACTTCCACATCTATAATGTTTCTATCTACTGAAAGCGGCAATTTTCAAAAGTAAATATGCTCTTTCTTAATTTACCTAAATGCTTTAGGTGGCGTAAGGCATTTTTGACCGATGCAGTAACGTCAGAGGTATCTGCGAAAACCATTCTCAAATTTTTGGCCACTATTAACTGGCATCACTTAGTGTTCTTTGTAGAAAGAAGAGACGACATACTCAACGTATTGTAAAAAAGATTCTTCATAGCAACGCTAAACAAGTGACACTTTTTGTGGAAATAAGGGTGGTGGCTAAAATATGTTAATTGATAGAATATTTCTTGCTCATTTGTAAGCAAACCGAGCTATATTTAACGAAAACCATCCAAAAACACCATATTATCTACTCCGTCCTAATCTGCCATCTGTACAACGCGTAGAAACATGGCCGAAATGAGGTTAGGATAAGCTAGAGGAGACCGCTACTATCAGCGTAATTTTATGATATTTTACGCTGATTGTAGCGATCTTCCTCCATCGTTTTCCTCTAACTTAACTTAACCCCGAAATGATGAGTCAGTCCAGGACGAGCAAGCGTATATCAAGATTTCCTATGGTCTTATAAGATCTTACAAGATCTTATTCCAAGAAACCATAAGATTTCAAAGGATCTTGTAAGCAGAGATGCAACCGGACCGGGCGACCGGGCGCCGGTTACCGGTCCGGTCCGGTCCGGTCGAGACTTATCAACCGGCCGGTTCAACCGGTTCCGATCAAACTGCAGGACCGGGACTGGTCAGCTTGGCTTATGTGATAGAATATGACAGAAAGAAGCATATTTAGTATTATTTTGTACTGCTCAAAGAAAGGATAATAATTGCATTCATTATTCTCTGCTTG